ATTCTAAATCTACACTACATTGAGGCTTTTTTTATTTTTAAATTTAAAGCCTGAAAATTAAAAAAAAAAAAAAAAAAGGCAAGGAGATAGAAGTTAATAATGGATTCTAGCCTTGCTTTTACTTTTTGGGAGCTGTTGTTGTTAGGTGCTGTCATGTCGATTCCAACTCATGGAGACCATACACGCAACAGAGCGTAACGCCGTCCAGTCCTGGGCCACCTGCATAATCGTCGCTATGCTGGAGCCCATCACTACAGCCACTGCTATCACTCCATCTATTTTGTAGTAGTTTACAGAAACTTAAAAATAACTTTTTAAATTTCTCAATTTGAAGTAGAACACTTTTCTGGCTGTTTTTAAATAAATGCTACTAGGCTATCTTTAAATTCTGCCCTGACAGATATTTTCACCTGAAGAACTTTCAATTTCAGTAAACACACCATACCATTTATCTTGTGCCAGGGTATTGGGTGTAAATGATCCTATCCTTGAGAAGATCAGAAAATGTTTGTCCTGCCTTCTAAAGAGTTTAATTGTGCCCTTTTTTGAGGAGCACTTAGTAGTAAGACTCACAGTTCAGATTAGAACGAATTGTTGAGTAATCATTTGGCCAATACCTGAAACACATTTATGGCATCTTTATTTAGTCTCTGCCTGAATAAGTCCAATGACCAAGAAGTCTTGGCTTTGCGAGGCAGTTCACTCTTCTCCAGGGTAGTGACAACTTTGAAATATCTTCCTCATAATGGTTTGGAATCTTCTCCATGACTTTCATTCACTGGTCTCAATTGCCTTCAAAGACAAGTGTAAGCCCTCCTAAGAGTGTACTTTTCTGTGTGGGAAGAATGCTTCCATGCCCTCCTCACATCAATCATTCTTATCTTCAGATTAGACAGACATTCCCAGTATGTCCTCACACCACTGTCTCCAAACTCTTCACTTCCCCATCCTTCACCTCTGGATATGCTCTTCCTTTTCAGCATTTCTCAAAGAGTGGGGCCCAAAAAGACATCTCCAAGGATGGCAGAGCAGGCCCTATGTCTTTTCAACAGTTGTTGCTATTTAACTACCTCTCACATCTATGCCACTCCTCGGAAGGAAGGTTGGGCAATCTACTTCCATAGTGATACTTACTGCCTTGGAAACCCAAGGAGGGGTCGCTATGAGTAGGGTCCAACTCAATGGCAAGTAACAACAACAACACCACATCTATGCTAACCCTGTGTGGGTGTTTTTTCTCTCCACTTGAGTGGAGCAGGTATTATTAACCACCCTATTAAACTTCACCTTTCAACTGGTTTGGAGAGTCTCAACGTCCCCACACCAGGGGTTGGGCAAGCACACATCACACAGATGCAAAGACCGAGCCCATGGAGTGGAGGAAGGACAATAAAGGAGCTGATTATGTTTCTGGACAAAATGATACAATTGACCCATGCTGTGGAGTCTGTGGAAGTTTAGCATGAATGAGTCTGCAGAAGAGTACATACATTTCTGCCTCATTGTCAACTGGCAGTATCTGTTTTTCCTGGGGTTAAGTTGTAGTGCAGACAGATTCATTTTTCTCGGGATACAGATAACTTTAGGACCAACCCTGGCCCATAAGCAACACTTAGGAATCAGCCAGTGAATGGCTGTCTCTTGGATCAATGATGGAGACAAAAACTACTTGGGATATAGAGGGAAACACTGTGTCTTCTTGTAAAAAATTACTCAAGGTTAAAATGTTACACAATATGGCCAATAACCACTGAGTAACCTTTTTAACAACGAGGAACACCCCCAATACCACCTCCAGTAGCACCAAATTGAATGGTTACTGCCTCATTGAAAAAAAAAAAAAAAAAAAATTGTAGCATGGGTATTGGAACCATGTTTCTAACACTAATATTCATCAAATTCATGTTTCAACTTAGATTGTAGGTAAACATTCAAAGTCTATCACAGACAGAAAAAGACAAAGTTTTCTACTTCAGTTTTATTTCACTGCAGTAGTGATACTTAAATTGCAATGAAGTCTTATTTTTAAAGTCGAACCAGGCCATTTAAATTCTATCAGTTAGAACTGGAAATAACGAATTAGGCTTGTGGTATGGTATAATGATACTTAAATCAAAACCCTTTGCAGGCACTCATGAGTAAGAGCTGAATTTATTTTTTCCCCTAATTGTCACTGAAGTAATTAAAATAAGAAATGTGCATTTTAGATAGGCTACCAAAGGAGTCCTGGGGGAGATAGCAGGGTGGGGAAAGCACATGCCATAGTGGTTTATTACCTAATTTCTGCTAACATAAACCGTTAGCAACAATGAAAATAGTATTTAATAGCTATAAAAAGCAACAGAATATTATAGGAAAAAATATACTCATTATGAGGATATATTCTTAGTAAATGTACTTATTTTGTGACACTGTGGCATTTCCAGAAAGTGATCAAATCATGTGTCCATGTGTTAAAGAAGTATTTGGGGAAAATACAAGAGTAGAGTAGAAATATCACTTTTCCTAACAACCTTTCCCTGGATTTTCCAATGTTTTCAGCTCTTAGTCAAGTTCCTGAGGGAAACCCAGCCTGAAGTCTCTCTCTAATGGCTCTTCTCCTCTTCCTCTGTGCAAAGGCAGCTTATTGTGCTACTTGCACTGGTGTGCCAGGGCATGTTTTGCCACTAATTACTTCCCAGCGTTAGACATCTCCTTTTTTGTTGCTGTTGTTGTTAGGTGCTGTCAAGTCAGTTCCCACTCATGATGACCCTACGCACAACAGAATGAAACACTGCCCAGTGCTGCGCCATACTCACAACCATTGCCCCCTGTTGTAGCCACTGTGTCAATCTGTTGAGGGTCTTCCCCTTTTTTGCTAACCCTCTGCCTGACCAAGCATGATATCCTTCTCCAGGGGCTTGTCCCTTCTGACAACAAGGCCAAAGTATGAGAGATGAAGTGGGGCCATTCTCACTTCTGAAGAACACCCTGGTGGTCCTTCCTCTAAGACAGAATTGTTCATTTTTCTAGTAGTCCACGGTGCCTTCAATGTACTTTGCCAACATCACAATTCAAAAGCATCAGTTCTTCTGTGGTCTTCCTTATTCATTGTCCAGCTCTCACATGCATATGAGGTGATTGAAAATACCATGGCTTGGGTCAGCCACACCTTAGTCCTCAAGGTGACATCTTTGTTCTTTAACACATTAAAGAGTTCTTTTGCAACAGATTTACCAAGTGCAATATGCTGTTTGATTTCTTGACTGCTGCTACCATGGATGTTGACTGTGGATCCAAGTAAAATAAAATCCCTGACAACTTCAATTCTTTCTCCATTTATCAAGATGTTGCTCATTGGTCCAGTTGTGAGAACTTCTGTTTTCTTTATGTTGAGGTGTAATCCATATTGAAGGAGTTCTGGTGGCATAGTGCCTAAGGCATATGACTGCTAACCAGAAGGCTAACGGTTCAAATTCACCAGCCACTCCTTGGAAGAAAGGTTGGGCAATCTACTTTTGCAGTGATACCACCTCAGAAACCCAGGGAGGTGTCACCATGAGTCGGATTTGACTCAATGGCAGTGGGTTTAATCCATATTGAAGGCTGTCATCTTTGTTCTTCATCAGTAGCTGCTTCAAGTCTTTTTTACTGTCAGCAAGCAAGGTTGTGTCATCTGTATATCACAGGCTGTAAATCAGTCTTCCTCTGATCCTAATGCCATGTTCTTCTTCATATAATCCAGCTTCTTGGATTATTTTTCAGCATACAGATTGAATAAACACGGTGAAAGGATACAACCCTGATGGTTCTTGATTTTAAACCATGCAGTATCCCCTTGTTCTGTTTGAACAAACAAAACAATCTTTTTCCTTATAGTGGTGTTTTGGTTACCTCTAGTGCTGGCTCTGACAGGAATACCATACGTTGATGGCCTTAACAAATAGGGTTTATTCTCTTACAGTGTTGGAGGCTAGAAATCCAAGTTCAAAGTGCCAGACTTTAGGGGATGGATGAAACTCCCTCAATCTTAGGCTTCAGCTCTGCCTCTTGCTCCTCCTGGCCCATTGAAGCTGGAGGCCTTCTTCACTCAGGTGGCTGCTGGCTGCTGAGGCTGACAAACCCAAGGTCGACAAGTAAAAAGGCACAGTCCCAATATTACCAAACCACATGGCAGGTCACTGATTGAAGTCCATTAACACTCCCAAAATCTACAGATAACATGGCAGGCTACTGAATGACAACTTGGCTACATGCAGGATTCGAGCATGACAGAAGGCTACAGACCATTCCCAAAGCTTCTCCTTATGTATGAGAAGCAGACCACATCCCTAAAGTAGCTACTCAGCTGCTTGTGGTAGATTCCACCCTGGAGTTGATTGCCAGTCTCATCATGGGGAATAACTATCACCAGCTGCTCAGCCACTCAAAACCATGCCCAGCCAAGTTGACACATCACCTTAACTACCACAAGCGGCCTCTAAAATCATGTATATTTAGCATTTCACTTTGTAAGTTTTGTCAGAATCAAAAAGAAATTACTTTTGGGCATATAATGTTTTCAAGAGAAGTGAGAAAAGAAAAACAAAAAACTCCACAGGCTAAAATCACAAAGGACTTTTAAGTGTGAGAAAAATAATTTTAAGCTCTGGATTGATTATCATTTCCTCTACTTTAAGAGCCACACAAACTCCAACCAGTGCAAGTATCACACTGCTGAGTCCACTTTGAAGGAAATATTAAGAATTGACAGACTCTGTACAATGAAACTAAACAATATATGTAATGAAGAAACAGATGCAATTTGATTTCTCTGCATTGAGACTTCAGAGACTACAGAATGATAAACTTCCTAAGAAGTGGCTTGAATTACCCATTACAACATTTTTCTGTTTGGAATGTTTACCACATTGTCCCGTTTGGTCTTTGTAAGTTGCTCAAGGCTGGCTGAATAGAAATCATTTTACATTATCTGAATTACAGAGGAAAGACAGCGGACAATGGGGCCAGTGCACACCTACCCTTCTGGCATGGACTTCTGCCTGTAGGTGCCCCCACCAGAGCCAGTTTCGCTGGATGAAGACAGGTTGCTAGGGGAGTTACGGCACTGCTGGGATCTTGCCAAAGCAATGGATGAGACTGTCACATAGATGTCTGAACCAGGAGATAGCCTGTACATAAAACCAAAAAGATGAAGTCAACAATTCAAATGGAAAATCCCAAGGCAATGCATAATGGATAATTTATAATGCTACAAAAGCAGCAACTTCATGGTGATAGTGAAAATGAAGCCAGCTGGAAGCCTACTAAAGAAACTCCACTATAAACCTACTCCCTAGGGAACAGCTGGAAAAATGCCGGGGGGGGGGGGGGGGGGGGGGGGGGGGGGGGGGGGGGGGGGCTAAAAACAAATAACAAGGAAAAACAAAATAAAACCAACCCTAAAAACATGGATGTTTCCAAAAGCTGGCAGAATTCAAGTGGTTGAAATGCTTATGCAGTTTTCTAGTATGGCAGAGCAGAGGATAACTGAACCCAAGTAACACTGACATAGCACTTAATTTCAATCTTTCACACCACATCCCCAGAGTATATGACTACAGTGACACTGGTACACTCCTAGTATGCATCTTTGTTTTCCAATTTTAATACTAAAACTGGGACTTGAATATTCAGGTTTTGCTATTTAGTACTTATAAATTAGGTTGGTAGTAATATTACCATATAAAACTTCTCTGAAAAAATACTGTAAGCTGGAGTTGTTGAATTTAATTGGAATTAATGGTTTTAGATAATGTCACAGCAGAGGTATGCTCCATAGCCACTTATTTTTATTTCTAAAATTACGGATTCTTCGCTCTGCTTACTGGCTTGTGAGACAAAACCCAGAGCTCTGTAGCCAAGACAGACACATATTTTGTACCTCTACTCCTCTAGTATGGAACAGGGCAATCACGAGGGTATCAATGAGTGACGATGACAATTGTGAAAATCTTTAAACAAAACCTTAGTAACAAGGTATTTTATTTCAAAAATGGATGCCGAAAGAGAAAACTTAAGGTGGACTTTGTTAAAATTTTTTTAAAAACTTTTGTCCTGCGAAGATTTTGTTAACAAAATGAAAAGATAAGCCATTGACTGGCAGAAAATATTTGTAAGATATATATCTGATAAAGGACTTGTATCTGAAATAGACAAAGAACTCTTTAACACTCAACAACAAGAAACAAAATACTCAACTAAAAAAGGGATGAAAGGGCTGAGCAGACACCTCACTAAAGAAGATACATGGATGGCAGTTATGCATATGAGAAGATAACCAGCATCACGTCATCGTTGTCGTTGTTAGGTGCCACTGAGTTGGCTCTGACTGATAGTGACCCCATGTACAACAGAACGAAACACTGCCCAGTCCTGCAACAGCCTCACAATCCTTGCCATATCTGAGCCCATCACTGCAGCCACTGTGTCAATCCAACTTGTTGAGGGCCTTCTCCTTTTCCGTTGACTTTACCAAGCATGATTTCCTTCTGCAGGGAACAGTCCCTTCTGACAACATGACCAAAGGAGGTGAGACAAAGTCTGGCCATTCTCGCTTCCAAGGAACATTTGGGCTGTACTTCTGCCAAGACAGATTTGTTAGTTCTTCTGGCAGTCCATGGTACTTTCAATATTATTTGCCAACACAACTCAAAAGCATCAATTCTTCCTCAGTCACTGTCCAGCTCTCACATGCATACGAGGCAACTGAAAGCACCATGGCTTGGGTTGGGCACACCTTAGTCTTCAGAGACATCTTTGCTCTTTAGCACTTTAAAGAGGTCTTTTGCCACAGATTTACCCATGCAATATGTTGTCTGGTTTCTTGACTGCTGCTTCCACTGGTGTTGATCGTGGAACCAAGGAATCTGTTTTTTTGTCTTGAGAGTCAATAAGCAGGGTGAAGAATCCATAATTTTAGAAATAGATATAATAACTGGCTATGGAGCACACCTCTACTGTGACACTATCTATATTCACATGTCACTAGGGAATTGCAAATTGAAACAACAATGCAATACCACGACATAACTATTAAAATGGCTAAAATAAAAACCACAGATAACACCAAATGCTGGCAAGGATGTAGAGCAACAGAAATTCTTATTCACTGTTCACAGGAATGCAAATGGTACAACCATTTTGGAAGACAGATTGGTCATTTTGTACAAAGCTAAACACAGACTTACTATACAACCTGCAATTGCACTCAATCTCCTAGGTATCTACCCAAGTGAGCTGAAAACATATACCACACAATTAACCTACACACGAATGTTAACAGCAGCTTTATTCAACAATTGCCAAAACGAGAAGCCGCCAAGATGTCCTTCAACAGAAGAATGGATAAACACACTGAAGTGCATCCATACAATGGAGCATTATTCAGAGATAAAAGGAAATGAGCTATCAAGCTATGAAAAGACATGGATGATACTTAAATGCATACTGCTAAGTGAAGGAAGCCAGTCTGAAAAAGCTACCGTATGATCCAACTTCTGGAAGAGAGAAAACTATAGATACAGTATAAGTCAGTGGTTGACAGGTTGCTAAGAGCTGAGGAGGAAAGACAAATAGAGCAAAGGCGATTTTTAGGACAGTGAAATGCTGTATGGCACTATAATGGTGGATACATAACACATATCTGTCAAAACCTATAGAAACATACAACACAGAGAGTGAAGCCTAGGTTAACTATGGACTTCAGTTGTTAATAATGTATTGATATTGGATCCAAATATAACAAATACACCACACAAATGTAAGGCATTCCTGACAAAGAAAACTGCACATGTAGAGGGAGAGGGGATATACGGGAACTCTCTGAACGTCCTGTTCAATTTTTCTGGAAACCTAAAACTGCTCTAAAAGATAAAGCCAAATAAAATAAAATATATTAATAATTAAAGGAGAAAAGAAAGAGCAACTGCTGCTACACTCATTCGGCTCCTCTAGCAGGGGAGGGCATTTCCATTCCCTAGCCAGTGCTCTTGGCTGTAAGCCCACCGCACTCTACACTGAACTGCGGCTGGCCCCCAGAGAGGATGGATTTTCCTTTCAAATAAGACAGTTTACAATTGATCTGTATGGACAAAACATTTTGTACATAAAGAAATCATACTTAAGACAAAGTTTTCAAGTCTTGGGCCAGGACTTGGTTTACTCGAATATGGCAATTTCCTACAGTGAACCTATGCTCGTGCTGTAGCAGGGCAGGTATAGGAAATTGACAGAAGGGATAAGAGAATAGTATTGTGAAGCCTTTCTAATAGAAAAAGAATAGGGACAGATACTAAAAAAAGTATGATTTCCTAATTTAGCTACACCCAAGAACCATATCTAACTTCAGAGCCCAGACTTCTACCTCCAGTTGTCACCTTGACTTCTCCATTAAACACTCTCAATCCAATTAACTCTTTTAAAAATGAACCTGTTTCTCCCCCCACACACACACTACAATGTCCCACATTTGTTCTTCCTATATTCATTATCTTACTGTTCGTGACCAAAACCAAGCTAAATATCTCAAAGCCATTTTTTTTCATTCTTCCTTCTTCATCTTCTAAAGTCAACTATTATTCACTGAACACAAACTGCATGCCAGCTACCATGAGTAATGCCCTTGACAGCAGAAATATGAAGAAGATAACTGGTCTCTCATCTGCTGATTATCCTCTAGGAACACCTCTAGCACCCTCTTCAAGGCCTTGAACCACCTGACCCAAGCCTTCCTCATCTCTATCCTCTTAACAGCCTCCATACTCTCTACATTCTGGTTATATCTGATGTGTTCTCATTGTCTGCCATGATACTCATATCTGTACACATCTTGTCACCTCTTCCAGGAATACCTTTTCCCCATATAAAGTCCTTTTCTTCCAAGGCCTACCTCCAATATCACTTCTCTAACATCTCTGGTAGCATAGTGGCTAAGACACTTGCCTGCTAACCAGACGGCTGGCGGTTCAAACCCACCAGCCACTCCTTGGAAGGAAGGTTG